ATAAATTACTTTAGTATGGCGTCTTAAGGAAAAGAAAAACAAATTTGTTATCAATTTACAGTTTTACAAAATTCACTGAACATGAGTACATACATAGGCTCATAAACATGATGATGATCTTTATTGTAAGAAAATTAAAATTAAAAAAGGCAAAATGTGTCGGATATGGTTGGTGACAGCTGTTGGAAAATAAAAATACAATAAAATTGAAAATAACAAGACAACAACAAACGCACCAAATGATAAGATTAAGTTTTATGAATGGAACAGACAACGAAGTGGCATCATCATCGTAAAATATTCAAAATCCTTTAGCTTCTGTACTTAAATTCTCTTAAGTTATTAATGCGTTCAGTTTTAAGGCTGAGGAACCAAAAATAGTCGTCTCAATACTCAAGTTCGGTTACCTCGGTACACAAATTCAATCATTTCGTTCTTCAAATTTAATCATCTCGGTTCTCAAATTGAGTCATCTATGGACACAAATTCTGTCATCTCAGTATTTTAATTCAGACATTTAGGCACTGACATCTTTGTACTCAAATTCAGTCATCTCAGTAATTACATTCAGTCATATCTCGGTACTCACATTCAGTAATCATAATATTCACATTCAGTAGTCTCAGTACTCACATTCAGTCATCTCGGTACTCACATTTAGTCATCTCGGTACTCACATTCAGTCATCTCGGTACTCACATTCAGTAATCACATTATTCACATTCAGTCATCTCAGTACTTACATTCAATCATCTCAGTACTCAAATTCAGTCATTTCGGAACCCAAATTCAGTCGTCTCGGTACTCACGTTCTATTACTCTTCCCTCTCTCATGCTGCTTTCTTAATAAACATCTTCTCAATAAACTTGAAAATACACCAGTCTCCAGACCTTGCCAGGAAAAGATAGGTCATAAGAACGACAAGTTTTAAGTGATAAAATATTCACATTTATATAAGTAGAACTATTAAGGAGCAGAGCACATTTATGAGGGATGTCATAATAATAATATTCATAAATTCTATGCACCAGATTTTTTCTCTATATACGACCTTTTGTTAAGTGCATAACGATGTTCATGATTGTGTCATAACTTGTGTGATAATGGTATATGCTTATGCTGTATGTGCATTGTTGAATTTTGTTATAATTTTTTTAAAAATAGGAGAATGAAAAATTAATTGCGTTTTTGAAATATTTTAAATTATTTTCTATTTATGAGAATGGAATAAAAATCACATAGACTACATATATGAGGGTAGAAGTCATAAAGATCACATTCTCATCTACTCCCTTATGACATTCGCTGAGGTTATATATTATTTTTCAATTATACAGAAAAAAAAAGTCATATTTATTCTCATTCTTTGCCATTGCATACAGGAGGACTCGGCAACATAGAGAAACAATGGATTTTAATTAGCATTTTATTTTTGGTTCCTTCTACATCCACAAAATAATAATAAATATATGAAAAGTACATCCATTGCGTCATGTGGCGCTCACTGCCTCGTATTGTTTATTATTTTATATTACTGTCTGACCATGACCAGCTGCTTTGCAATAATGATTGATGACTCTTTATTGTATTCATGCGTTATTTGCCTTTCATTGTCAATTTTTCATTTTTCTTTGGAATGATTTCAATCAATTTTTGGCTCATAAATTTTCCTTTTCTTTTTCACTGCTAGTTTCTCATTGTTTTCCAATGAAAATAACTGTCAATATACCTTCGTCATCGTTTGTGTTGATGCCAAATATTGTAGAATATATTGATTGGCAGGATATATACTTGACGTAGTCAAATGTATATATTTTTCATAAACTTACGCATTGTTGCATTGAATTGTACTAGTCATATCTACATAGAATATGACTCATGATAAATAATTTTGAATAGACATTTCCGATTGCCAACATAAACTTAGTTACTGCTAGGTTAACAAAGTCCAAACAATTTTGTTAATTAAAGAAGAAGAGTTTTTTTTTTGTTTAATTAATTGACTAATAAAGCCTTTTTATTCTGTATGCATTGACTAAGGGCAGTGTGAGTAGCTACAACTTAAAAAAATGACTTCAATATCAAAATCAAAGGAATTGAACCTAGGCTTTCTCAAAAGTTTCCGGTCTGTTAATCATTCAATCTCAGATGATTTACTGTCAAATAACAAATTTGTTTACATATGACTCGATACCCCCAAATTCACTCTGCTCAAACCAAAAAGAATTTCTCATTGCTTCCCATATGCTGTAAATTACCAATATTAGGCCTTAATGTTAATGACAAAATTTGATTTTATACCGATATCGATAAAATATCTACTCTTTCTTTTAATTCTCACGCGTAGCCTTCAATATGTTTTCAATGTCAATAAAATCTTTTTCCTGTGGTGCCATTGATGACATCCATAAAAATTATGTAAGAAATGAATCTGAAACTCACCTCAGGAGAGAATAAAAAGCCATTTTAATGACATGACACAACCCACAAATAAATAAATAAATAAACAAATAAAGGAATATAATTGGTCATATTTCCTTTCCATTCTGTGTGTGTTCCTTTATTCATTAATTTCTATCAATAGATTTCTTTTCCTTTATACTCAATTTCAATGCGTATGCTTGGCACAACAAATCATTCTCTTTGGTGACAATAATAAAAATTATTTCACGCTGCACAGTTAGCAGCAACTGTAAAAAGGTAAATTGCATTGATTTTATGCTGCATTGTCAATGTTTACAGCATATAATTCATCTTAGCTATTCAATCGCAAAAAATTCTTAGAAAATCATCCATGAAATGCATTTTTTATGTCACAATATTTATCGAGTCATCCACAATGAACATCCCTTTTGAGCAGCTCGTGAATAGACCACAAGATGATGTGGGCATGACTCAATACTTGTTTGAGAATGAATAAAAGAAAATTCTTTTGTGGTGAGCAAAAAAACTTTTTTTTTATCTCTTTTCTGTGCGGTTTGTGTGGATTTGAAATCCTTGAGACGAGTAAAATGAGAAAGAAAAATTCAATTCAACAAGCTATGGATGAATAAACAGAACGAATAAAAGTTTTTGATATATTTTTCGTTCTTCTTCTTCTTTACTAAGGAATATTTGCTGTTGATTCTCAAATTTGCCTTTGTGAGGTGTGAATATAAAAAAAATATTGAATGAAATTAAATCAAAAAGAAATAAAATTCATTGAATATTTCCTTCTGCTCGTTTCAAAAGAAGCTTTGTGAATTATTTTGTGTAGACGAATCTTTTGAAGTGGCTTTGAATTGAAAGTTTTATAATCTTTGATGTTGGGTGTTGAATGAAAATTTTTTCACTTGAAATAGACAATGAAAGACTACTTAATAGTCCTCGTCTGGATATATATCTTGTTGAATTTTGTAAAAATTAAAGGCTTGCGTTAAATTTATTGCCATGACCACCCAAAATCAAAAGCTGGTGATAATTTGATTATCAGCTGCTTGTTTTGACGAGCAGCTTTTAAATTAGTAGCGTTTCGTCACTTCGTTAATTGAATTAGCAAAGTTTTTCAAGATCTTATTTTATGAATTTTAAGATTTCTTTATTTTTTATTGTAATTGCTTTTGGATAGTCACTCAGCTTTTAAGACCCCTCTGTTTCATATCAAGAAGGTAGTTTTTGTAGTCAAATCTAGTTCCACTAAGAATTTCAAACTTCATTAATTTTAAATTATTTTTTTATATAATATTCAAGTTTCCTTTGTAAAATGTCTGGTCTTGCCTAGTGCGATTCTTAGGAAATTGAAGAAATTGAGAGGGAAGATCGAGTCCAATCTGGCTATGCGTTTGATGACTAAATGTATCAAGAGAACATCATGTTTACAGCCTTAGAATTAGAAATATATGTAGTCATAAAATGACATAGGAAAAAGCTGTAAACATAAATAAAGCAAAATGTCCATCAAGTTTAATGGTCGTGCAATATTTTGTCAAATTAATTACAAAACCATTAATCAAGAAATAGCTGCAAATGTTGAACAAACGTGGATAAATATAAACCAAAAAAATATTGTGTGACTTTATGCTGTTATCGCTGCTGTTGCGGTAGTGGCATTCTAGTAGCAGCTGAGAATATTTTACATCCAAGCTATCGACAATGATAAATCATTGAGCATATAAATTTATGTGATATCAAAGTGCATCAATAAATTTATTCAAACAAGAAATACTGTTGGATTTTTGGTTTACATTGATTATGATCTGATTTGACCTGAATCATATTTCAAGGATTAATCACATGTGCTGTGTAACATCTGAAATAACAGTGAATATTTTGCATGAAAAATTATCTACAAAAAATCTAGTTCAGTGCACATTTCAAGTGGTGCAAAATTTTATTTATTAAAATTCTTCATTGTCATCTCTACTAAAAAATTCAAAGCTATCATTTATACACCAAAACCATAAATCATTTCACAAAACACTTTTCACTTTGATGTGGAAATGAGAATTTCTCCTTTTTTTTTAAGCGCTAATTGGAAATCTTCTCTCGACGTGATAGTGGTGATGATGAAATTGCTTTCATGATAGCATTTTAACCACACCAAATGAACAGTTTGTGGAATGGCACCTGAGAGATAGAAATTAATTGCAAGTTTTTGCTGGCACTGAGAGGTGTTGAAACTGATAAAATTTCCAAGTGAAAAATCTTTTTGAGTGAAAAATTCATAACGGGATGATGAGATTTTTGTGGTTTGAGGAGTTGATTTTGGGCGAAATAAATTATTAGCTATTATGAATTTGAGCATCGTTCCTTACCAAAAGACACAAATATTCATGGGTATAGTCAAGAATTTTTGACGCTGTACCGACAAAAGCTCTGATTTATAGCTTAATAGTTAAGATCAACAACAGAGTGAAGCAGAGGTGTGTTCATGGCAACCAACTAATTCTTGCATAGAGTTAAAGCACAGGTACTCGGCTCAAGGTCCCTTCTTCATATTTTTTATTCCAGAAAATAAAACTAGTTTCATAGAAATTATTTATTATATAAATATCAATCGACAGCTTAAAAACTTGGTTTTGAAAATATTTCAATAAATTATTCACAATACACATTCAAATTTTCAGACTCCTTAATACTCAATGACGTTTCCCTATGCGACATCCATCACGCAATACTTTTTTAAAACTTATAAAGCATTTACAATGCAATTAATTTAACAGTCCTTTTTCACGCCTCACAAGTGCTTCATATTTTTTCTATCCTTCATTCGTTGCGTTCGTATTACTGTCACCGTTGTGAGATGGCATTGGTGCAATTTTTCGTAGACAAGTGCTCGGTAGACTTTGAAAGTCATTCGCAAAAGTCCTACATTGGTAAAGCCACTATGGAAATGTAAATTTACAAATTAAAACCACTTACTAGTATTTGATGTAATTGAAAAATGAACTTACAGCATGTATACAAGTCAAAATTCCAACAATTGAACCAACGGTAACGTCAATGACATGATGACGATGATCAAATACTCTCGAAATGGCACCAAAATAGGCGAGCGAAATCAATAAAGTTTGAACTAATGGAAGCAATAAAACATTTCTAGACTTTATGCGTTTTTGAAGATACCATGCGATAAATGTGCAGCTATAGAAACAAACTGCCGCATGTCCACTAAAAAAGCTCTGTGATGAATCGATGATATCAAATGATGCTTGTTTGTTTGTGCATGTATAATTTTGGACGAATGTACCATCCTTACATGTAAGAAGAGCATCAGGCTTACATGTTTCAAAAAAGTGTGGTCTACAAAAATACGCAAAAACGAGAAGATAAAATAATTCTCATCACTTCCACTTGGCAATTTTACATACCTATGAGATCGAGTACAGTACTTTACAGTAAAAAGAAAGACATGCATGAGAACTAAGTTGATGACATAGCGATGATAGAGATAACTTGTATTTCTCCAACTAACATTCAGGCACGAGAGATTGCTGTCACATGTCTTGCGATTAAATACGATCTCACATAATAACAACTGAAAGAATGGCAAGAAGAGTTCAAAAATTATTACTTGCTAAAAATAGCGCTAATCGAGAGCTTTAATTTTCAGTATTATAAACCAATCAAGTTGATTAAATACTTTTTCATGGACTTATAAGCAAGTTGGGGGTAATTCATTAATTGCGTCACACACACAAAAATTCATTTTACGCTAATCTTTGGTGCAAATTTTCTTTAAACTCATACAAAATGTTTAGACCCACTCCGCTCTCAGACCGTTACGTAATTTATGAACAGCTCCTTATTGTTTATTTATTATTATACGCAAGATAAGATAAAACTTTTATGAATGGAAGAAAAGTCATAAGTTGATGTGTACTATGTTCTCAAATAAATATTATGGTAGGTACGGCAATAATTCAAGTGTATTGATGCAGATATTCGAGTCTACTTACCACAAAAATCGGAGAAAATCCCCAAAACACAAGTATTGCATTTGGTATTGTATCCGAAAGTCTAGGAAGTGACAATGCTGGATCATTACAAAAGAATCCTCTTTTGGCAATTGGAACTGTAAAACTTATGGCAACAGGTATGATTAAAACTGTAAAAGAAACCAAATTTATTTTAGAAAGCACAAAAAAAATTTATTTATGTCAAATTCACCTGCTGTACACTGGATGAATGTGATGAGAAAAGAGACTATTTTGACTTTCTTCATTTTTTTTCTACTTTTGTGTCTGAGACTCACTTTAGTATCGTATGAATTTTGGATTACGACTGAAATGAGCGAATGAAATTGAGAGATTTTTATTTTATATTCGAGCTTGATAAGATAAATGCCGTATCTTTAATAATATTTTCTTTTTGAGGTGACGAGGAAGCAAATCAAATTGTTATCAAATTTTTGAATGAATCACTTCGTGATAATATCGCAGAAAAGCTTTCAAATAAAAAAGACATTTCCAAAAAATATAATAAAGATACAGGTAGCTTCAATGCTTGATGTTTTATCATTTACGTGACTCACAATGAACACAATTTAGTTTTGATTGTTTTGTGATAAAATTGGAGATAATTAAGTTTTAGTGGACATTTGTTGACAATAATGACATGAAGTTTCGATGGAAATGTGTTCTATTAGGAGTCTTTCATAAATGACGTCTAATAATTAAACTCGAATGGCACAGGTTGGTAAATCGATGTCAAATCCGGCGCCAAGCTAGCAATACCCTGGAAAGAAGCTGGCTTCGATTTAAAACCAGCAACGGAGTCGCAATGGTTTGGTGCCTGATTTCTAATCGATTAATCGACTTGTGCCATTCGGGAAATATGATTTTATTAACTCCCCTTCCCCCTGTGTTTTTCTAATGAAAATGTTTCTTCATGACTGAATGCCTTTCTCTATAACAAGATGAACATCAATTATAAACGTCCCCTAAGCATTATAAGTCAAAAGCAGCTACATTTCAGTACAATACATTGTATTTACATTAATAAACTTTTTTTAAATTTACAGATTTAACAATATAGAGTATCACTTTTATGCAATAATATGAAATTTGATCTGAAGTCGTTGTTCAATTGTTAAGATTCGGTTTCAATAGCGAAATTTTTAATAAAGATCCGTTTTTAAGGATACGTTCACCGGTTGGTCTAAAGCCCGGTTTCTAAATTATTAGAAGAATTCTACCTTAGAACTAAAAATTGATGTTCATTTTGGTATTTAAATGTATATTTATTGTCAGTAAGAATGGTTTCACAGGCCCTAGAAAATGGACACATTTAATAATAACCCCAAAAAGCACAAGTCGGTTAATTGAATATAAATCTGACATCAACACGCCAGCATGACTTTGGCATGACTCTGGCTTCGTTTTAAATCCAGCACCATGCCAGAGTTAAACTATCTTGGTGCCGGATTTCTGATTGATTAACCGACTCGTGCCATTCGGGAACGTAATAAGTAAATAGTCCCTAGTAAACATGAGTAACTTATTCTGGTTTGATAGCATTCACTGAACACTTTATTGAGAAATTTATATCAGATTACGTAGTACTGCGATAGCCATGTATAGAATTTTAGCAATAAAATTAACAACAGCATGACATTTCATTTATTTTCATTCCCGGGAACTTCAGACTTGTTTGCAAAATTGAATGGTTTAAAAAAAATTGATATTAAAACTATAATTTATTAAAAGTCTTTGTCATTATTTGCTTATTTTGAAGCTTGAAATACTCAACATTTGATAGAATTTAATACACATAATATTTCACTTGCTTCCTGATTAAAACTGACTAAATTTACACTCAATAAGAACAAACTCACTTGCGGTTCACACAAACAAAACAATGAAAATTATCATAAATTTGATCAAATTATTACTAAAATGAGAAGCTTCTCCACACGCCGACGAATTGTTTATTTTGAGTGTAGTGCTAACTCTTTCTCATCTTTACGACGTGTGTCGAAGAGAGCACAATTTGATATGATAAGTGTATGAATATGATTATGATTATTTTGAATACTCTCACATGTGTCGCACTTGTCAATGAGTTGATTTAATGAATGTACATAAACACGATGATGATGATGATGATGAGACTTGTAAGTGAAAGTTTTGCAATGTTTATAACACATATTAAGTTAATTACTTTCTTACTACAACTTAAGCTCTTTATTTCTTCACAAGAGATGATAAAATGATAACTAAATCCAACTCGTTATTTTCACTTCCTCACTTTTACTGCTTTTATGTCAGAAATTTCATCAACTAATGATTCAGACAGTGCTAAATGCAACAAGTTTTATGACTTTTTTTTCTTCCTGATTAATCTCAGCAATTTTCTAAACGTTCTACATTCAACAAAATTGAAATACAGAATGAACGCGTAGTTGAGAAATTGATGAACGACTGAGCGAATTTGCAAATAAATGTTATGCGATATCACATTGCCCTTTAAATTATTATTTTTCAATTTAACAGAAGTGACGTCATTACGATGAGAATTCATGCATGAAGAAATTTGAATTCTTTTATGAATTTAGTGTAGAATTTGTTGTAAAAAAATCATTTGAATCCTAAAGACCTAAATGGAAGTGTCACAAACCCCAGCTCGCCCCAAAAAGTACTCAAAATTAGACATCATTTATGAACGACAAATGTTTAATTTTGCGGAAATTTTAAATTAAAGTTTGTTTTTGTTATTATTTTCATAATTTTTTATTACTTTTAAATAATTCAATATTGTGATTAAATGTTTTTGTGACATTAAACAAGGTGAATGAGGTGAAACAGCCTGATCCAATATAAGAAATGTGTTTTAACAAAACTCAAACCAAAATGGAGTCAATAACCTCAAAATAAACAAAAAGCATCAATTTAATGAAGTTTAATTCAAATTAATTAATAACTTTTCTATAAATCAGTTCATGTGCTTAATCAATTCTACAACGTGCTGTCTTATTATTGATAGTTAGAATTTTCACAATTCCTATCTCAATTCTAATAGTCAGCTAAATATTTACTTTCGATACGAAGTTTACAAAACAAAAATTGATAATTAGCTGTTAACATCAAATTACTCGGGATGTAAATGGACGGAATATAGACGTAATTCTGACAAAGTTTCAACTCGATCTGAGAACCTGTTCCCGCTGACTTCACACACACAATTACACTTGTCTTTAAGCTCCTTTAAAGCAAATCATTCTCAATTATTCTCAGCTCAACAATTATTGCAATGCAAAATATGGAAAAAAAAAATCCTCAAGCACTTCCATCTTGAAGAGATTCCTTCTTCCATTTTCACATGACACAAAAAAAAAATATATTCTCATGATTCCATCTGTTTAATCCCTTCAAATAATGGTTTGAAAAGAACAAAAAAAAATATCACTAAATGTTATGCATCCACATGAATTTGCTTTTATTAAGTCCTCGAGACAGATATACATCACCATTCTTCTGTAAGAACATAATGTGTGTACATGAAATAGTAAGCACATAAAAAACATATTTCCATACCAGAGATGAATGGAAAACGTAAAGAATGAATTAGAAATAGAAACACAAGGACATTGGCATTTAAAATGAAAAAATTTTTTGTTCCTCATCCACACACAAAATGTACTTACAGCATCTTCAAACCAGCATAAATCAAAGTATAAAGCATGAGACATACATGTTATGGTAAGATTTATGCATGAAATATGAAGTAATAACAATTGAGGGGTTGGTTCCGCAGAATAATCCAAATTATGAAGATGAAATTATTAAGGAGCAAGCTCAATAAAGGAACTACAGCTCTAAGATTGTAAACATGAATAATTTTATTATTGATGACATCTGAAAATAAAATCTAAAGCGACATCATTGCAGTATTCTCTCAGTTCCACCTCCTTGAAAAATCGCAATTTAAAGGAACTGAATGAGAAAATTGATCTGTACGGCCAGCGAAGTAAGTAAGTAAGAATGAGAAAATTGACGACACGTGCAGCATCTTGAAACGTATCATAACAATAATAATTTGTGTGACCTTCTCTTATTCGCTTGCTTTAAAGTTAAATCTCATGACAAATAGGAAAATTGATGTCAATTTTTTATTACTTTAGCTTCCCCAAAAATGCACACAGAACAGTTATAATGTTATTTTTTATGTTACTTAATGTTCCTATAAATTTGCATCTAAATGTCCCTTTTTCAAATTCTATAATGGTCGCACTTCTGAGAATCATAAAAGCGAAGGCAATTTTTATTATTATGCATGTGACAATGTATTGTGTTTATCGATATCCAATAATCTGCCATTTGAGTACGCTTAAACAAAACAATGAAATTATAAATAAATTTTGATGATGCTGTGTTGAAAATTTTGATTCTTTTGATAACATGAGGGGATCGTTGACTTATGACGTCTTTCAAAAAATGAGGTTTTTCAGATCCACTTTTCAGCTTAAAGCTTTTCGATAAATCGATAAGTTTAACAAAATTTCTGACCACTTTCATGGTGACGTCATAAGCGAATAATCCCTAAGCCATAAAATATGGATGAATAAATTTTGATAAGTCAATGATAATATAGAACAGATATGAGAGGTACGTGGGGATTAATAATTTTGATGATTTTATTATTCATAAAAATAAGATTTCCTCATTGATATCAGTATTAATATTTAGAAATTTCACTCAAAGATTTTTATCGATTTATGAAGTGTTTTGGACAGAGTGTGATGTAAAGGGTCGTGAACATTGTTCGAATCCTTACCGAATTAAATGAAATTTAACAAATGATTAAAAGATCGGCCTCTGGAGCTGGTTATAAAAGCTAGTACCACAAAACTACTTAGAAACCAGCTTCAAGTAAGAATCGAACCCACGTCGTCTTAAAATAATGCTACAGAAATCTAATCTTGGCCACAGATGGCCTTTACTCACTTTAGTAGATTCGCCTATATATTGATTTACTAGATGCTACTCTGCTCAGAAACAACATATTTGATTGCTCATTTCTTGTCTTGACAACCAATTACTAAAGTGACAATTATTTAACAAATACAAAACGAACATCAGCTTTAATCCTTCCTCATATATACTTAATACCTGATTTAAAGTTTCCTTTAATTCATCATGGCAATATTACCATAAATATATACATGAAATATGTATATAGAGACAGGAACAAGTTAATTCTTTGACACGTTCACATGAAAAAAAAATGTACTAAATCCTTTTCTTCATTAAATGTCAGTTTAACATACATTTCATTATTCTTGTACTTCATGTTTCTTATGCCATTTTCATTTTCAATCCTTTATGTTTCAATCCTTTTGTTCATTTCGTATTCATTTAATATGCCGACATAATGGATTTTTTTATTGTTATTATTCAAAGACTGAAAGGATAAAAAAAAGAAGAAAAATTAAATGTGTCAAAAAGAAATCTCCAATCCCCTTTATCCTTTTAAATTGGTTTCTTTGTACAATCCTTTTATAATAGAAAATTGCAATAAGAAAAATGTGAGCAGTCACAACAAATGTTCAAAGCAATTTGACGCACAATGTGGAATGTTTAAAGCAAGAAACGAGTTTATTATTTTACAATTTACTGGTTCTCTTGATTCTACATTTTAATGCTTACATATTGCAACTTGCAAAGGATGCATGCTGTAAATAAACCAGAAGAAGAAAAAAATATGAAGCAAGTTAAAGAAGGAAGAAAGAGATCAAGAAGTTCGTGGAACATTGCCAAGAATTTTGCATCTGCTCCTGTTCCTTTATGTTCTTGTGAAAACTTTTTTGCCTTCTCTAAATGGATTTCCTTTATTGCATTTGTAGGACAGTGTAGATTTCCTGAGGATTAAACCTCATGTATGTACACACAGATCCAATTTTAATGTATCGTTTCAAATAATTATTGTTGTTACTAATTCCACACTACTTCCGCAAATAAAAATCTCTTGTGCTGTAATTTTTTTTGGTACCTTTTCAAGACTTATTTGTTCCTGTAGATGGAATGAACAACAGGAAATGAGCAATTAAAATTGATTGATCAGTAAAAAGATTTCAGGCTAGTCTTAAATATATGACATGCAGTTGAAGCATTAAATTTATCTTTTCAAGCAATCAGCAACAGTTTTCATTAATTATTATTGACAAAAATCAAATAATTCTCTACTGACTATTATCTGTCAATAATTAAGGCATCTGAGCAGAGTGGAATCTGGTATTTATCGGATATTCTGTCAGTGCAATTGGTTAGCTCAGATATTTGTAATCCTTCACTAAAGTAAGGATGTGGGTTCGACTACCATCAGACACCGATCTCTTAATCCTTACATCGAGAGTTCTTGATACGATAAAGATTCTCACAATGCTTCATGACATTACAAAAATTAAAAAAATAAATAAATTGTTAATCAGTGCCTTCGGAACAATAATTTATTTCGGTCAACCCAATATGTCAATATGAGAATGTATGTTTAAAAAATCGCGTGACCCAAAAAATAATAAATATTGACAACACATAATTTTTGAAATTTTCGTCCCATATGGAATCATATTTACGAAAAATTAAACGTTGTTCCAAAAAAATATCCCATTGATTAAGGTTGTGTCAAGGCTTGAAAACTCGTCGTAAGTTTTGAGAATTCTTCAAATATCTCTGAGTCTATAAAAGATGTAAAAGGGTTTTTTGTTTTCCATTGCACTAGAACCAGATCCTTTAAAAGTTGGTTTTAAGCAAGACTTTAATTCTGGTATATCCAGTCATTTGAAGGATTTTCTATCAGGACAATGGTTGATTGGTTAGACAACAGCACAGATATTTGTAATCTCTTACTATAGTAAAGATGTGGGTTCTTGAGATTTTTGTTTGAGATAAATCAAGGCTTAAAGTGGGTTGGGACACTGCAAAAAAAATCCATTAAAAAGCATAGTCCAAGCATAGACATTTCAATCATATCAAGGTAAAACCTTTAAAAAAGGAACATTGGAGGATGAGATCAAATTTAAAAAACAAATTGATCAGCCATC